TTGTTTACTTATACCTAGTATTCTTATATCTTGGTATTTTAACCCATATTTCCAAAACGGGCTACAGACATTCACAGACAAGTGGCGACTAAAATATACGATTATAAACACGATCCCCTGCAGTGATAGAAAATTTTAATTAAATTTTAATTACATTTAAAATGTGTTTTTTCTATGTACGACAACGATTAATTGGTTATTAAATGTGTATGTTGCTTGCACGGCTAATTTATACAAACGTAAAACGTATCAATGCCAATTCAATGGCTATTCGATCCAACTTTTTGTAGTTATCTACTTATCTAGGTCACATCTCACATAGAATGTGGTTTTTAACAATCGTTTTATTTTAAACATACCACGATACTTCATCGGTACTTAAATTTAAAAATAGCTAAAATGTATTGTTTACAACTTCGGAATAATATTAATGAACCTCAGAGCCACAATAATACATAAAAATGTTGTGTTTTCCCACATTCGACTTCCGGTGTTCAAGGCTTTATCTCGCGATGATACAATATACAATACATCCTCGAATAATTTTACGTGCATAAACTGCAGAGTTTGTTTGTGGAAAACAGAACGTGGCAGCACTGTATTTTGTACAATGAATAATAATATAAAATTACTGAATGGTTTTTCAGTTTTTCCCCTACCGTCTTCTAAGTTCCAGCACCAGCTGACTATRTCTAGCTACGTGGTAGGTCCGAGGTCGCTCTCGCCATTACGATTACGATTTAAAATTTAATGTTTATGAGTTATGACGAGTTACCTCACACAGTCGTGGGCCCTGCTGATTTCCAAATTATTGTAATAATTATTTTTGATATTCATTCRTGACTATTTCGTATTTTTAGGTTTTCTAAATATTTCTTCAAAACAGTCGAAAGATTWAAAAGTTAATAGATACTTGAAACCATCATAGTATAGTTATTAGTTACTATGAAGAATACTTTTATAATAATATTATATCTCGTAGAAAAGTAACATTAATGATGAATAATTATCAGCTGTGCAATAATTTAGATGTTGGCATATATGAATTTATTGTGTACATTACATCATAATGTACATACATTATACATTTGTCTCGGTATTGTTTTCGTTTAACTAAATTTTTACTKTTTTRGTAGTTATCGAGAGATAGACGACATATTTACAGAATATGCAAATTACAAAGTTTGCTTTTCATTCTAATATAGTGTGTTTGACTCAAGTGTCACACGCATATTTATCAGCTGATAGTCTGTTGTATAAACATTTTATGAACAGTGAACAGTGTGATATAATACTATCATAAAAATGTGTATCTATAACGGATGTTTCACTTATTTCATCATTGCATGTGTTGGTTTGGAGTTTTGAACTTCATAAAGTAAACGTACACTGAATATRGCAACGAGATTTTTTGAATATTTATCTAGCATATTATTTTTGGCTATTTTTGTATTAACTAAATAGTAAATAGTCCTTGGAATGAATACTGACTAGTGAGTG